GGAAAGAGCTAAGCGTCCAGGCCTGGTTTCACCAACGTTGTTCAACTCCAAGCTTAGTTTAATTCGTTCTTTGTCTCTTTCCAACTGTTACTTCGCAAAGAGCTAAGCGTTCAGGCCGGTTTCACCAACGTTGTTCAAGCTTCAAGCTTAGTTTAATTCGTTCTGTGTCTCTTTCCAACTGTTACTTCAGAAAGAGGCAAAGGTGAATTGAACTGAGATTAAAGTTAAGCGACGTTTGGTGAAACTGGGCCTAAGCGTTTGGGCCCGGTTTCACCAACGTTGTTTAACTTTAAGCTTAGTTTAATTCGTCCTGTCTCTTTCCAACTGTTACTTTGAAAGAGACACACATGAATTAAACTAAGATTGAAGTTAAGCGATGTTTGGTGAAACCAGCCCTAAGGCCCGGTTTCACCAACGTCGCTTAGCTTAATTCGTTTGTCTCTTTTCAACTGTTACTTTAGAAAGAGACAAACAAAATTCATGGTTTGCCTCTTTCTAAAGTAACGGAAAGAAACGAAGAACGAATTAAACTTAGCTTAAAGTTAAGCGACGTTCGGTGACATCGGGCCCAAGTATTTAATACTTGGTTTCTTCACACACACCTGCCAGTAGCTATCTCCCAGATAAAGATATTTGTCAGATAATTAATAATAATTCATTTTCTTTACTGGTTGTCTCAATCTCTCAGTTAACTATTAGTTAAATCATATGCAAGTCTTCGTTTTTCCTTCGAATTAGGCGAAGATGTGCCCGTTTCTACGCAGTTTAACTTTAATCTCGGTTCAACCTGCCTTATATCTTTTTCTAGTTTTACGAATTAGAAAAAGGTAAGTAATATGAACCGAGACTAAAGTTAATCTGCATTGGTAGAAACGGACAATAGACATATGATTTAACTATCAGTTATCTTACCAAGAGGTTGGAAAAACTGGCCCGTTAAACGTCTGATTACGTATCTAATGAATAGCTATTCTTCATTCTACTGTCGACACAAAAGGAGAAGCTAGAATTTTATTATAAATTCTATCAGCGAAGTGATATATTTTGCGAGAGAGAAAGGTGAAGAAAACTGACTCTGGAAGATATGTGTTGAATAAACCTCATCTAGAACTTGTTTAGGATTGGCGCAATTGGCTATCAATCATTTCCCCGATAACAATTGACCGCCGAGGAAGAGGAAGACGGTTAATCGCTGGACTGTTCGCAGAAGAGTAGTAGGGGCTCGAGGCAGAAGGCTGTGGATTACCTTAGTAAGAAGTTCCTAAGAAATTTCGATCCAGAGCACAGCGAGCGGGAGAAGCGCAAGCTGTATCGTCGATTGTATCAGAGCTACAGGAAGCACCTGTACAACGACGTGGGCATCTTCATACAGACGTCGGACAATCTCTGCGACTGCCTGAATCTGGACTGCCCCGGGTGCCATTTCCCGTGTCCCAAATGTTCCTCCCCGAAGTGCGCCCACGACTGCAGGTAACTCTCCGCTTTCCCGAGCTGTCCGCTGCGAACCGCCGAACTGTTCTGTCGCGTGGTAATCCATTCGAATCGTGACTTCATTTCAGAAACAATCGCAAATGGACCTACGATACCATCCAGAGCGAAGGGACCGATTCTGTGGTGAAAAATCCACTGCTGAAAGATGCCGAAACGAAGTGAGAAACGTAAACGCGAACCTGTAAATATCTGTACATAAAGCGCAACCGAGAATGCGCCCGATTTTTATTACTACTTTGATATAAATTGTATTTCGTGATTGATACTTGATAAATCCTTGGCGTGCAAAGAAGGAAAAAGTGTTTTTGTATAATTTTACATGTATTTGGGATACTATTTGTAGTACGAGAAATTTGTTTGACCACGCATATTGATAGACTGCAGAATGGAAGAGTCCTCTGGAAATTTTCCATTAGCCAATCGATAGAAATTCTCAAAAAGTTAGTCGCACGACAAGTGAAACATCATCCCAAGGGCGTCTTTCGCCAACCATCGTTTCTATTTTCTGTTAGTAAATGTGAACCGCCGGTTGATCTAACCGAGGTTGGCGAAAGAATCCGTTTCTACCAGTGCAGATTAACTTGTAATCTCGGTTTATAACTTTCTTCAATCTTTTTCTAGTTCTAAAGCCTGGCTTCGCCAACGTCGCTTAACTTTAAGCCTAATTCGCGCTGTCTCTTTCCGACTGTTACTTTAGAAAGAGACGAACGTAAACTAATTGTAAGATTAGAGTTGAGCGACGTTTGGTGTGAAACCGGGCCTAGGAGTTGGAAGAAAGATGGAAGGTAAATTAAATGGAGATTAAAGTTAAACTACGTTGATAGACGTGGACGTTAGAGTAAAGGCAGTTATTCCGTCAAGGATCGTCTACAGTAGATGTGCAATAGATCACGAAAACGTCAATGTGACATTGAAATGATAAATTTCACGTCATAAAATGATCGACATCTGATTTATGACATGCTGTGTATAATAATATATTATCACAGATTACATGATCAGTCATATATTATGTTTATCTTATATCACTTCAATTTATTTTTACTGTATAATATTTAATTAGCTTTGCTTTGTAAAACAAGATCAGTTTTACAAGATTTTGATGTCTTAATGATGTCACAACACGCAAAGAAATGACTTGGTAATATCGGCTAAATTGCAGTAGCTGCTTTATAGTATTTAATTAACTGTTTTGTAAAACAAGATAATTTTTACAACAATTTGATAGCTTAAAGATGTCGCAAATAGGTGCTGTCGGTGGGTAATTTTGACGTCACCATGATGCATAAAAAAAATTATCAAAAAATGACGTCATCTCGATGGTTTCGTGACTAACGTGTTCTACTTGGGAAGAGTAGGGGCAAAGAAATGAATCATTTCCATTTCTTGCTCCGACATTTCAGCTCTGACGCTCGCTCTCGGCGAATTGGCGCGCGGTTCGACCGGTGCTATAAATATTTTTAAAAAATTCTGCCTGTACTTCAGCTTTTACACCGACAAGTAAGACTTAGTCTGCAATAGATGATTTAAGCCCTAAGCCTTGAGAAATTGGCCAATCACGGTCAAATTTGAATAGAATGCGCGACTGTGATTAGTCAATTTCGTAAGGCTTAGGGCTTTAAATCCCTATTGTAGACTGGGACTAAAGATTGTGGTTTTCTCACGTCCAACGTAGACGGTCCTACGTTCGACCGAGCGACCGCCCTACGCGCGCAGGACGGAAATCGCCCTGGTCTCGCCGGGTGAAATTTTCGGGGTTGAAGAAGCGCGGAGACGACGTTCCCGGAGCCGCGCGCGGTATCGACAACGCGACCAAACGTCGCTCAACTCTAATCTTACAATTCGTTTACGTTCGTCTCTTTCTAAAGTAACAGTCGGAAAGAGACAGCGCGAATTGGGCTTAAAGTTAAGCGACGTTGGCGAAGCCAGGCTTTAGAACTAGAAAAAGATTGAAGAAAGTTATAAAAACCGAGATTACAAGTTAATCTGCACTGGTAGAAACGGATTCTTTCGCCAACCTCGGTTAGATCAACCGGCGGTTCACATTTACTAACAGAAAATAGAAAGGTCCACCTCGAGATCACGACCTCCCCGCCCGCGCGAAACCGTAATTCGCGCCCAGGGTGCGCCCTCGCGCGGCCACGCCGCTGACGCCACCGGCCGCGCGCGCGCGTCCACCCACCCCCGTAACGCACACATGGAAACCGCTATTGATTTTCCGCGCGGCGCACTCGGCGACGGCCGCGCACGCGCCGCGCGCGTACGCGCGGAGAGCGCGCGCTTCGTTTTCGACCGCGCGCGGGGTCGCCGAAATTGTCGCGACTCGGGACGGGGAGGGAAATACGGAAACGCGCGGGACACGGTGACGTCGGCCGCGGAAGAGTCACCGGGCGCGACTCCGTCGTCGTTCGGCGCGCGACAAGAGAAAAAGAAACGCGCGAGTCCGGATCCCGGAGGGACCGCGCGCGCCCGCCGCTTCCGCGCGAAGGTAGCCGCGGCCGCGCGCCGAGCGGGACGGACTTCAGGGGGGTTGACGCTCGGGAGGCCGCGCCGCGCATCGCCTAGTTCGCCGCGTCGCGTCGGTACGCCGCGATTCCCGTAACGGGCGTAACGTAACGACGCGTAACGTGTAGCGCGTAACGTGACGCAGAGAGACACGGTCGACGAGGAAGTAGCCACCGCCGCCGTCGCCGTCGTCGTCCACCGTCCACATCCGAGCGCGGGGTGGCGGACGTACGCCGTCAACGCACTCACGCACGCGTACGCAAACGCGAGTGACACGACGCTCCGTGCGCGCGGTTAACACGGCGGAGCGGCAGCCGCGAGGAAGTCGTCGGATCGCGGCCGAGAGCGCGGCCCGCCTGCGGAAGAAGCCGGAGAGGCCAGCAGGCCAGGAGGATCGTCCCCCGTCGCTCGACCGCAACGGCAGGTTTTTCTCCCCCGTCCGTCGGCGCTCCAGTCCGCCCTTCGCCCTTCGCCCTAGGAACGCGCGACGTCGCGCCGCGACATCCGTGACGTTGTCCGCGAGTTGTCCCCCTCGCCCCGCGACCCCGTAGAGCGCGACCAACGTCGCCGCTGTCGTCGGACACCGACGCGACCCGGGAGACGACCGCGACCCGGAGGGGGTTAGTGTCGCCGCCTCGCTCGGTCCCCCCACGGGCTCTCTGGGCCCGTGACCGCGTTTCGCTTCGCCCTCCCCCGCGCGCGCGCGCGCGGCCTGCGCGCCCGCGAGTCTCCCGGTCGTCGGGGCCCGACGCGTTCGCGCGGCGATTCCGATCTCGGTGACGGTGGACGGGGTCGATCGGGGTAATTGTGCCACGGCGGGGCCCGGGGGAGGGGGTGGCACGGCAACGGTATTTTCCCACGGATCGCTGGGACGCCCCCCCCCCCCTCGCCCCCGTGCCTTCGCGATCATTCACCGCAAGATTGACAGACGGTGAAAACGTCGGAAGGTTTTTTTTTCCCCCCCTACGAGGACAGTTGGAGACAAAGCCGCTTTTTTTTTCGATATACTTTAGACACGCAACTGACCACCGAGGACGAATAATTCGGGGGGGGGGGAGATAACGTACGAATTGGAGCCGGCGCCGAGTCCGCCGACTCGATTCTGCCCCGGCGATTCCGACGCCGAGCGGCTTCTCTTTGGTTTCCGCCAATGCAAACACGACGTTTGACGAGGTGTACTTTATAGTTCCCGGGCGTTCAAAATGGAAATCCTGCTGTCGAGGGTATTTCGGCCGTGTCTCGTTCGCGGGGGCGCGACTTCGCCCCCCTTTCGAAGCGACGTCGGGCTTGCAAAATCGCGCAGATTTTCTCCGCTTGTAATTGGGCGCGACGTCACTTTGTCGTGCGGCTAATTTTCCGAGCGTATCGATTGCCCGCAAAAGTAGAAAATATCTAGGGAGTCGACAACTGCTCTGCCGCGACCGATCGGCACGCTTGGAAAAACTTGTCGCACGACAAATGTAATGCCGGCCTGGGGTTGCGTCATTAACGTTAGTTGTGCACTAGATTCTCGATCGCCCCCCCGCGATTTCGTGTCTCGCTTACGAGAACGCCGCGAGTCGAATGAGTTCACCTCTTGTTCGCCTCTCGTCGCGTTTGCGCCACCAAAATCCCGAATAAAATTACTGTCGGGGAGAGGAAATCCTCAGGTCAGTTGCATCCTCGGTCTCGTCGCTTCTTCCTCTCGCCGTTTAATCTGAAATGCACGAGGCGCAAGAAACGCGCAGCTAAACGACGACGGACCTGCTCTCTCGTTCTCTCTCTCGTCCGTCTTCAGTTTTTCTTAGCTTCGGAAAAAGTACGCTGGAGACGAAACCAGTGTATTCGGACCGTGTTGAGCGCAAAAGAGCGAGGGAAAAAGGGGCCGAGATGTAACAGTAAAGAGAAAAGCCCGGTCTACGATGAGTCGTTTGGTCAGAAGTCAAGACTACACGTCCTTTTCCTTCCACCTAGACGGGAAACGGGTCGAGATACGAGATTCCGGCTTCCGACTAACGACTCGTCGCAGGCCGAAGATTGAAAAACAGTAAGCCGATCGATCATTCGCAGCCGAGAGTTTCAAAATGGCAGTCTCGCGTTCTCAAGAATTCTCAATTTCGATCGCCACCCTCTCGCTCCGAGACGCTCCCGCGTCCCGGCACTCGCGCGCCTTTTCTCCACGGCCGGCCCTCTCCGGAGAGCGAGACGGGCACGCTTTCGCACGCGGGCGTCGAGCAGTATAAATCCGGTGATCGCGGGGAAGGTATAGGGCGGAGAGGCGCGGAGAGGCGCGGAGAGGAACGAGAGCAGACCCGCATGAGGCAGCGCGAATAGAGGCGGGGGGGGACGGGGCGCATACGGTTGGATGCGGTTTCGTGGGTGTCGTCATCGGAGGAGTATACGTCACGAGATATGCGCGGAAGGACGGACAGATGTAACCTTTCGTGGGTTCAGATTATTAGCTGCGTGGGCGAAGCGCGGAGCGGAGACTATGGCGTGCGCGCTTGTACATGGGGTGTCCCGTTACCACCGGATGTCCTTTTCCGGGGGCGATTCCTCCTCGAGGAAAGAGCGGCGCGTGCCCCGTGAATGCCTCCCGAAACTCGCAAGGGGAGATAAACGACCGCGTCGTCCAGCTAATCGCCACTTGCGATCGACAACGTGCTCTTTGCGACTGGAAACACTCTACTTCGCTCTCGAAAAGTCAATCGGTGGACTATCGCGGAAGACGGTGAATAGTCACTGATTTCCAGTTCTAAGTACACCACTGAAAATCGCACTGGTACACTTACAACTGTAAATCAGTGAACTATTCACTGTTTTCAGTGATAATCCTCTGATTAATTTTTAGAGAGTGCTACACTTATAATTTATGCGTTCTGATTGGTCGAGCGTAAGCGTAAGAGTAAGAGCAAACGTAAGAAATAAAAGCAATTCATTTCGCTTACGCCCTTACTCCAGCTTTCTTAAACCGGAAGTAATTCTCTTACGCCTACTCTTACTTCTTACGCCAAGCTTACTCCACCTATTGCAGACGACGGCTTTACTCTCTAAAAATCAATTAGTGAATTATCACTGGAAACAGTGAATATAGCCACTGATTTGCAGTTATAAGTATACTGCTGAAAATTGCAGTGGTATACTTATAACTGTGTATCAGTGAATCTTCACTGTTTTCAGTGATAATCCACTGATTGGCTCTCAGTTGCGGCTACGACATAGAACGTTTCTAGACGCGAAGGGCGCACTGTAGGTCAGGCTTCGGTAGATCACCCTCTAAAAGTCAATCAGTGGATTATCACTGAAAATAGTCAGAATAAGTCTGAGAATAGTCACTAATTCACAGTTGCAAGAATACCACTGAAAGTCTCAGTGGTATACTTACAACTGTGAACCACTCACTATTTTCAGTTATAATCCACTGATTGACTTTTAGTTGGCTACGACATAGAATGTTTCTAGACGCGAAGGGCGCACTGTAGATCGGTAGATCACCCTCTAAAAGTCAATCAGTGAATTACCACTGAAAAAAGCGAGTACGCACTGATTCACAGTTGCAAGAATACCACACTGAAAAAAATTTCTGGTTGAATATGGACGAATCAGATAATTCCTTTAGGATTTACCAGAATTCCTTTAGGATTTACCAGAATTTCTGTAGGATTACAGGAATTCTGGTAAATCCTAAAGGAATTATCTGATTCGTACATATTCAACCAGAAATGTTTTTCAGTGCACTGAAAGTCTCAGTGGCATACTCACAACTGCGAACCAGTGAGTACTCGCTATTTTCAGTGGTAATCCACTGATTGACTCTTAGAGTGCACGAGGACGCGCGATTGCGAAGGCACCGCCGCTCGATATTCCCCGTCGCTAAGAGGAATCGTCTCCGGATCGGCCGGTCGGAGGGATGCGCGTCTTCGAGACATCCGGTATAACTTGTGTGTCGTACGGGTGTGCAGGTCGGGCGGTGCAACCGGGGGTTCGAGGAGGGTGATCGTCTCTCACGCACGCAAACACACACACGAACGCTCTCTCTCTCCCTTTCTCCCCCTCCCCCCCTCCCTCCCACCCTCCCTCGTCACATCTCAGCCCCCGCGTCGTCTCTCTCCACGCGGACCCCGAGCGCCGGGGGTTTACGTCGCCGGGACGGCAGATGTCAGGATGCCGGAGCAGAGCAACGACTATCGCGTGGTCGTGTTCGGGGCGGGCGGCGTCGGCAAGAGTTCCCTCGTGCTGCGCTTCGTGAAGGGGTCCTTCCGCGAGTCCTACATACCGACCATCGAGGACACCTACAGACAGGTAAGCGAGTACCTACATACATCCCCGTCTCTCAAGCGCGCGCGACCGTGCGCCGCGTTTTTCGTTCTCTCGCGCGGGACTGCGTGCTCGGGGACCGAACGCGCGTAATCGGTTTCGTTAATTGACCGGAGATAACGGTCGCTTCCCAGTGGAGAAGAGTTGACTGAAATTTCGCCGATTCTCTTTCCCTCGTGTCTTTTTTTCCCCCCACTCGATAATGAAACAAAGAATCGACTCGATCAAAGTGACGGTTTTTTTTTTATTCCTCGAGTCTTTACGAGTTGATTTATAAAGGACCGTAATAAGCGGATGGCGACGATACGATTCTGCCCGCAAAGTTATCGTAAATTTATTAGTCGAGTCTAGTTAATGAAACTTGTACGGCATCGCGACGCGTTCGATACTGTCCACTTAGGGCTCGTTCGTAATGAGAAGGATAAGGAACAAGGAATTGGAATTAAATCCCGATCTACGGAGAGCCAGGAGTTGGGAAATTCCTGCTCTACCGCGAACGTGTGGCTTTCCGTAGGTCGAAATTTCATTCCTGATTCCTTATGTTTAATTCCGTGTTCCTTATTCCTGCCATTGTGCACGAGCCCTTATCGATCTCGACTCGCGGAAAAATTAGCTAGAGACGCCCTCGTCCTCGCGCACGTGTACCGCGCGAAATCGACAGACTCGACTCCCGCTCAGGGCCAGTTTCACAAACGTCTGTTAACTGTTAACCAGAGTTCAGTCGACTCCTTATTATCTAGAAGAGACGGAGAATCAGTTAACTTTTGGTTAGCAGTAAACCAACGTTTGTGAAACTGGCCCTCAGGCCCGGTTTCACCAAACGTCGCTTAACTCTAATCTTAGTTCAGTTCATGTTTGTCTGTTTCCAAAGTAACAGTTGGAAAGAGACAAAGAACGAATTAGGCTAAGCTTACAGTGAAACAACCGGGCCTGAGGCCCAGTTTCACTAAACGTCGCTTAACTGTAATTTTGGTTTAATTCATGTTTGTTTGTTTCTGAAGTAACAGTTGGAAAGAGACACTCTCTAAACATCAATCAGTGGATTATCACTGAAAACAGTGAACAGTCACTGATTTGCAGTTCTAAGTGTACCACTGAAAATCGCAACTGGTATACTTGCAACTGTAAATCAGTGACTATTCACTGTTTTCAGTGGTAATCCACTGATTAATTTTTAGAGAGCAAAGAACGAATTAAGTTAAGCTTAAAGTTAAGCGACGTTGGCGAAACCGGGCCTTAGTCACGAAGACCGCGCGAAACGGACCTCGCGCACGCGGCACCGCCGGGCGTGCAATACGTAGACGGTAATTTCCGCAGTAGCCGGGATTCAGCGATCAATCGGACGTCCCAGTGTCCCCGGCACACGCATCCATCGGGATCGCGATAGCTCGGCCACTCGCGAATTTAATATTCCCCACTTCGCGCATCCGGCCGATAATGCGGAACTGACGTGCGCGCGAGCAGAAACATAAAATTTGCAAATGACTCGCGGCCGCGGCATAGAGAATATCCGCGCCGCTAAGCCGCGCGGTAGAATTAGTGGTAATAATATACGCTAATCGGGCAAATGCACGCACACATCGCGGCTCGCGATTACTTTGCGTTTTGTGCGCCGCGAGAGGAGCGTCGCGTATGCACGCCGATTAAATTGCGCGCTATATGCGACACGTTGCGTCACGGCACGTGGCACGCAGAGAATGGCAGGCCATTTAAATCGTCAACTCCACGCGACGACGCCGCGATTCGCGTGACGACCGAGATCTCTGCACGATAATACGATTTTTGGCAATTCCACGGCAATACACGCGTAATAATCGCACCTCGATATTGAATCATTCGTACAAGCACCGGTCGAAGCAACGACACAATGACTCGGTTATTTCGACCCGTTACGCAACTATTTCGTAGACGATTTTGCGCGTGACGATTTATTGATACGTGCAACAGATGTGATACGTGTTTTAATAAGAGGCGCACGAACGTGCACGGTTCGCGTTTGTGTACATATATACTTGTATGATAAAGACAATGACGACGCTGGTGGGACTCTCGCTGTGTGCGCGACGAGAAGTGTCACCGATGAAATCGCGCGGGCCTTTTCGATTTAACTCGACTCGATTCGGCGCTGACCAGCCCTCCTGCTTTGACTCGACTCGGCGCGATTCCGAGTCAAGTCGAGTCGGGCGGCGAGTCAAGTCAAATCGCAATCGAGACCCAAAGTCAACGGTAGAGATGTACGAATTAAACAACTCGATCCGGCTCAGCCCTCTTGCTTTGACTCGACTCTACGCGAGTCCGAGTCAAGTCGAGTCGGGCGGCGAGTCGAATCGAGTCAAGTCGTGTCGGATGACGAGTCGAGTGAAATCGCAATTGAGGCCTCAAGTCAACGGTAGAGATGTGCGAATTAAACAACTCGATCCGGTTCAGCCCTCCTGCTCTGACTCGACTCGGCGCGAATCTGAGTCAAGTCGAGTCGAGCGGTGAGTCGAGTCAAATCGAGTCGGACGATGAGTCAAATCGCAATCGAGGCCCAAAGTCAACGGTAGAAATGAGCGAATTAAACAACTCGATCTGGCCCTCCTGCCCTTTGACTCGACTCGGCGCGAGTTCGAGGAAATAAAATTCGACTCGATTCGACATGGTAAAATCCTCGATTCGCACATCTCTAGTCAATGGACCGCATTACGGTATTTCAGGTGATAAGTTGCGACAAAAACATATGCACACTTCAAATTACGGATACAACGGGGTCCCATCAGTTTCCCGCTATGCAGCGGCTCTCCATAAGCAAAGGTCACGCCTTCATCTTGGTGTACTCGGTGTGCTCACGGCAAAGCCTCGAGGAGCTACGACCGATCTGGGCCGTGATAAGGGAGCTCAAGGGCCAAGATATCTCGCAGATACCCATTATGTTGGTAAGGACTCGCTGCGAACCCCTCCATTTATTTCAGCATTCAGCTTCAGTTTTCGCGATGCCGAAGTCGGCACCTAAACCAACGAACGTTTCCGCGCTCGTTTATAAATAATGGAGGAAAGTCCCATATTATGAGATAGTAGATTTCCAACGTCCAAATTTCAATCGCAAATCTTTTTTGGCAACAATTACAAGATGTAACGATCAATTTTCCACTAAACTGATGTCACTTCAAGAGCAATAAATTGATGATGCTTATTAATTTAACAGAAATCCCGCTATCTCATATTAGGAACTTGTCTCATAATAGGGGACTTTCGTCTATAAATAATATTTCACGAGTTTTCGTCGAACGTGCGAGCAATCGTGAAAAAATATCCTTAAAACAGGCGATTTTACTCGGCGCGCGTGCTATCAACTCGATAAAAGATGCTCGGGCGAGCACGAATGCAAACGAAAATACGAATTCTTATCATTATCGCGATGCATCCCGTTGAATTTTTAGTCGCTCGGTATCGATCTTTCTAACAAATTCTTTTAAAAATCGTCTATTGATGGCAGCTCTTTCGTTACGGACTCGGGGAAAGTAGTTTTACAAAGTTGCCATTTCCTCCTACAATTCTCGGATGAGATTGGACGGAATTTGAGGAAACTGTTAACGCTGCAAATCGACGTTCCATTTCTTTCTCCCCGCAATTTGACTCTCTCGGAGATTGGCTCTCGATTTAACTTGGTTACCACAAAAGAGAGGACTCCTGCATGAAGCCCCCCCCCCCCGACCCGTTTCGAGTTTCCTCCCCGGTGTCGTTTTTGCGCGAGCCAGCGATTCCATCGTTGATTCATCGCTCAGGTCGGGAACAAGTGCGACGAGAGCCCGTCGGTGCGTGAGGTGTCGATGAGCGAGGGCGCGGCCGAAGCGGCCAACTGGGGCTGCGGCTTCCTGGAGACCTCGGCCAAGACGAATCACAACGTGGACGCCCTGTTCCGGGACCTGCTCACCCTCGAGAAGAACCGCTCGGTCTCGTTACAGCCGGTGCAGAGCAACAACGCGATAAGACTCAAGGAGAAGTGTGCCGTTATGTAAAAAAAAAAAAAAGAAAGAAAAATTCGCCATTTGCTCCGATCCGCATCGCGTTACGTCGCGACCCGACGACGAGGCCCGCGCCTCCCCGGGTCCCGCCGTCCTCCGAGACGCGCGGCCTCGCCGCCAACCGCCGAATGGTATCCTACGCAAGCCGGTTTCGCCAGCGACGGACGACTTGTTCGCGACTCGAATCCCTCGGCGGCTCCCGTCTCCCGTTTCGAGATCCGTCGAGAGGTTTACGGCGCGTCGTACTTCGTCTCGCACGCGGGCCTAGTGAATGTCTCCGCGAGATTTGGCATTTTCAAGATAATTTTTTAAGGGATCCTGAGAGAACGTTTTAGAACTTTTCAATTCTCGATAACCGGGTCAACCTCGCGCGACCCGAGGAAGGCAGGAGGCGCTTTGCTTTTTTTTCTCTCTCCCTCTGTCGACGAACGCGAAGGAGTTACTCGAATTCGTGCGTGCGTTGCTCGTCGGCGGTGAAGCCCTTTTTTGTTTCAATTTGAGTTACGACACTTTATACACAATAGACCGCTCGACCGCGTATAATTTCTCCGTGCTCGACGATGGCGAATTACTCGAGCCCCCGCTCTTGTTTTTCTTGACTCCGTCATGGAATCGTCCGCGGTAATCTCGATCTGCGACGAGGGTCGGCAAAAGCAACGATAACCAAGTCTTACCACTGAGAACAGTCGCGCGTTTCTCAGCCGCTGATACCGCAAGTCTGACGATAACGATCTCAGCAACGTTGTAAACTTATCGTAACATATCACGAGATACATGATATCGAAGTGTCTGATTTTTTCATTTCGGGAGGATTAATTTTTATAGGAAAGGGTTTCTTCCGCGTCACAAAGATCCGGTCGCTCGTGACAAGCGCGTACTTTTTCAAACATTTTTCCCATAAATATAGTTTCGTATATTAATCGTAACGTAAATGAATGATAATAACGATAGCGATATAAAAGTCGTAATTAGTTGTAATTAATTCCTCGGGGTGTAGCGGGACAAAAAGCCGAGTTATCGCGATTGTTGCAATCGCTTCTTGTCGCAATTAACTCCAAGCTCTCCGTCTAACAATAGCGGACAATTAATAACTTCTACAAAATCTCTTGTTCGCAGCGCCGAAAAGACCCCGATGATTTACCGTCGTGTGAAACGATTACAAAATTAATATCGAGCTTAGTCGGGCGATTATCGGGATAATCGTTCTCGCGGAACCGTTGCTCCCTTGTCGGTTTCCGCTGGAGCGTCGCCCAAGATCGTTCCTTTTGCACGCGGATAAACAACGAATTGTCGTGGAAGATCGAGCGCGCTTTGTCCGCTCGCAATCGAGACGGTCCGCGTCGAAGGGCAGCCGTAGAAGCGGCCCCCTTTTTTCCCCGCGTAGGTCGATTTGCTGAATCCCGTGAAAAAAAAGACGTGTACCAATTTTGTATCAAATGTGGAGAACAAAAAGTTGAAAATTCACGGGGGATCGGGCGGACGTTAGAAAAATGCGAATTCCGGGAAGTAACGAACGTTGAAAAGAGATTCAGCGAAATGTAGCCCGAGCGCGAAAATCGTTAAGAGTGAATTATCGCCGAGCCCGTGTCTGGATCCCGGTAAAATATATGCTGAGAAATATGAACCCGAATGGCGAGGGCTTTAAAAGGGATCTACTCTACGCGGGGGGGGGCCGTACGGCGCGGCCTTTTTTCGCGGACCGCCTCAATTTAGCTAACGTGCCGAATCGATAATAGCCCTTCCATGAAAATTCCGCAATGCTCCGCAATCGGAGACTACCGCACGACGACTAGGGACCGGTGTAATGCGCGCGCGTGAAAGTTTTTCGTGAGGATGACAGCAGAGAGAAAGAAAGACCAAATGTGAGAGAAAGCGAGGGCGAGAGAAAGCTGAAGAAAGAGTGAAAGTGCGTGTGCGAACGACGAATAACAAGTAGATAAGAGTTGTTACGAGATTGGTTTTTGTTGAATAGTTGTAAGAATTTTGTAATGACTATGCTAGCTAATTAGAATTACAAACGGGCAGCAAGACATGACACAGGTCCGCGTACAGCACACACGTACACACGTGTATACGCAGAGAAACCCGCGAGTCGTATTAATTTGTATCATTGAACGTGCAAATTTATACAGAAACACGCGCGCACACACACACACACACACACACACACATATACGTAGGCACAGATTTGTTGACAGGCGCGAGAGATTACGAGATAATTGTAACTGTGACATGTGATTGCACACCATATCGACGCAGTGTTTCTCATGTCTTCTCCAAGGGAAAAGGCTCGACCCGAGGCGTTCTTCGGCGTTCTCACTTAGGGGAACCTCTAACGAGACAATTAGCGGAACAGTTATATCACGTTCTCACCCCCCGGTCCCCGCCCTCGTCCGCCTCCCCCTCCCTTTCGCGCGCACATCGTTGAACGTATATCCGTAGTGTTCCTCGTGACGCGTGTTCTCCCGACTTCCCCCCCGCCCCCCTCCCACCCCTGTCATCGTGTGCCCGTTTTACGGATATATCAGAGAAGACCGGAGCCTCTTCCTCCTCCTCGATACACGTTCCCCGGGCCACGTCGCGACGCCGTCGCGTCCACCGGGCGTCGATAGGATCGATGTAACACACGTCGCGATGATGTTGATAATGACGATGATGGCTCGCCGCCTGCACTTGAACGCGTCCCGACTACCGGGCTCCGCGTTGAAGGGCCCGTATTTATAGCCGCCGGCACTCGAGATGGCTAGTGTCTCGAGGGTGTATCGAGTGATGTGCATACGCTCATCAAGGACCTAAATCGAAGCCCTGTCGAGGCTAACACATATCGCGTTCTCGCAATAATGTCGTCTCCCCTCCCCCTCCCCCTCCCCCTGCCCCCCCCCCGCGAAGGCTCGCCGAGTTGGAATATTCCGAGGCCGAGCGTACGGGGTGAGTCGCGGATTTTTATTCCAAATAAAAAAAAATGTACACACATATAATATATTCGTCGTATATATCGCCGTCTCACGTCCCCTTTCTCTCCGTAGTTGCTCCCCCGGCGCTCGTTCGCGTTCAACTTGGGGCGGTAGAAGATAAGATTCCTCGTTGAGTCGTCGGACGCTCCGCTCACAATTCGCTTTGCTCATTGTCTGAGCATAATTTAATCGCGACCCCGCTTTAAACACGACCGCGGCAGATATCGCGGCGGGGCCGACGGGGCGCGTGCCGCGACACGAGGCGGCTTAATCGGCGATCCGACTCGAAATTGGAGATCATCCTTTGAACGGGCCGACAATACGTCCCTAGCACAGGCCGGAGCGTCAGTTGCCGGCAACGTGAATGCCATCAATTACAGCGATCATCGAGGCCAGAAACGGCCATTCGGGGAAGGTCGTCGACGAACGTTATCGCAGACATGAAATTAACGTCGCGTAGACCCAACAATTAATTGCAAGACTGACGCAGTCGTTTTTTTTCGACGTGTACGATTTAGCGATCGCGGAAGAACGTTCGTATCGACCGAACGGCCCGTTCCCAGGAGAAGGAATCTAGGTTTGTAAGTCAGCTTTCTCAAAGAAGATGCCATCGGGAAAATAATAAAAGCTGTCGACTTGGACGAGGAGTCCGGAGCATCGACACCAGCTGGCCATCCCTAGCGGCGGCCACCGTCGTCTCGACGTTGCTCTACACATCCGCGGAGGACTCGCAGGGACTCGGGACTATTATCCAACGAATTACGCGTAAACTCACCCCCCCCCCCGGGAAAGAGGAGGAAAAAAAAAGAGGAGAGAGGAGGAGGGACGGGAATTCGTTGCGCGTGATATTACGAATTCCTCCGCGGGGAATCGCCCGATCGGGCCCTCAAGTTCGAGAGGAGCGGCTCGATCTCGCGCGCTGGTGAAATTCCCGCGCCCTCTTCATCCCCTCGTGCTCGTTTCGACCCGCCTGAATTCCACTCCCCGGACCTGTCGCCCGGCCGGCATACGCGGCACCACGGCGGCCTCCCCGTGCGTTTCCGGCGGAAGTGGGAGAACGACGGAACAAGCTTTAAGGGACGAATCCCCATTCCCTTCTGTTCGACCGATAGCTTAACGAGCCTGGGATCGTCCCCCGCTGATATTCGCGACACGGCGCGCCCGCGAAACGAGGTCGTCCTCGCGCGTGTTACGATTGTATACCCACTTATACGTAGCCGTGTATTACTCGCTACACTACGATTGTTAGGCGTGCTTCACTTCGCTTCATCTAGGTAATTATCGCCATTGTCGTCGTACGGTACGTTTCCGCGCGACGCCGCTCAGCCGAGCACGGTAAACGCCGCGGACCTCTATACGCACCGCCGGACTGCTTATCCTCGAGCTGAAAGGCGAGGCAAGAGTCCCGCCACCTCCCGTTAGATAAATTAAGTGGTGTGCGTCGCGGTGTGTCACTGACTTTCTTTACCCAACAAGACGTGGCGGAACTCTCGCCTCGCTTTACACCTCGAAGACAGCCGGTAGCGGAGGAGAGTTCCCTATTGTGAGACAGCGGGTTCTCAACGTTCAAATTCAATCACAAATCTCCGTTCGCCTTGTCTCATAATAGGGGACTTTCCGCTAGAGGTCTGTGGGTGAACGTCCCTCCCTCCTTCCTTCCCCCTTCCGTTCGGGTGGTCTCGCTAATCTCTCGTCTCGGACTCGCGTTATCGTATAAGCTGGAGGCACACGAGAGGACTCGAGCGGCGGAGACTTCGGGCCAAGTTTCACAAACGTCGGTTAACCGTTGACTATGGTTTAGTCGACTCCCATGTCCTTTTCCATCTTATTATTTAAGAAGAGACGGAGAATCAATTAACCTACGGTTAAGCAGTTAGCCGATGTTCGCGAAACTAGCCCCTGGGACTCAAGAATTGTCAAGCAGTCGGAATTCTCAGCGCTGCTGAAGTTTCAAGATGACCGCTTGCGATCTCGACTGTCGCTGGCCACTTCCCTCAAGTTTCCTCGTGTGTTCGGGCCTGCGTTTGGCGCTCGCCGTGCTCGGAGAGGAGCGGCGTCGCCCGCGATTCTCTAATCCTTACGCGAGCAACGAGGGACGCTGGGGGGCGAAACGTCAGCGGCCTGACGACCCCCCGCCTCCCGACGACAGAAAGGAACGGCAATCCCTCGCGCCGACCCTTCGGCGCAACCCTTTTTTACGAGGACCTTGTTTATTAAATCACACAGTATGCCGTATTTAAACGTAGCGTGTAACGTGTTTAATAATGATCGTTAATAATCCGCCAGAAAAAGAGAGAAAACATTCCTAAGTGTAAATTGTATATACGATTTTCTATATTCAGAGATATATCCCGATACCAAAGTGTATACATACGTACGTATTATTACAATTATTATTATTATTATTATTATTAGGGGATTATTAGTCGGAGGTGGTTTTTTGCGGGCGTTTGCTCTCTCGTCTCCGTAGACGCGTGGCGGCGGGAACGGAGGGAAAGGGAAAACACCGGGAAGGGAAGAGAGCATTCGCCGCTACTTTCTAAATCACTTGTTATCAAATTGGTCGATCGATTACGAGCCACACGTAGTATTATCCCGTAATTGTAGGGAATACCAGTTAGTAGAATAGGATATATTATATATTAAATAGGAACACATACACACACACACACACGAAGACACACATTGACATCAATTATGCAAACGTATATCGCGCAGACTTCGTCACAAAGGTCCACGTACGTGTTGTCGTCTTTACATGAACTTTACAGGAAAAGTGGGAAAAAGTGTCGCTTTTTTAATGGCTTAGCTGCACGGAAAGACCGGCTAAGGCAAAAATAACTGAACTTAAAATGTTGCCGTATAAATAGTGGGGGCATCTACATTGTTTCGCGTTGCAACATTCACGGAGTTTGCGCTAAACGCATATAGCTGCCTCCACTACTTATCATACCAATGCTGTGGGTATGACAACCACAGATGTAGCTGTCCCAAATGTTACTATTTATTGGGGTTGTGCCAGCGCTAATTAGACACGTGGTAACGATACCGGTCTCTCCGTGTGTTGAAGGGGTTTCGTTTGCTGGCCGAGGGGGAATTAAGACACGTAGGCTAATCGCGCTGTCTCGAGACACACGTAGGCTCCGAGGGAACGCGACGGTTTTTATCTTATCGATTCCAACACTGTCTTGCAGTTTTCTCGCGGTATTAATATTAGATGGAGTGGGAACGAACCGATGTAGAATTTTGCTAAGTAGGGTAGATGATACGTGTATACGGAGTGTTTTCCGCCGCGATTTCTGGACTAGACGTGGGGCCGATTTCTCTTTAACGAAGACGCGCCACCGAGAATCTTCGCGCGCGAGAAGATCGTGCGTTTGCACTCTCATTGGGGAAGAAAAGAGAACGGAGGAGAGCGAGACGTCGCAATAAACCGCTCGGACGGTTGACTTTCGGCAGTGGAACGTTGCCAGAAGACGCAGCTGCCGCACGAATTTCTTTTAAAGACAAATCGACCGATGAACTCTCGCCGAAGCATCCGCGGTCCAGCGGTAAATCGTCGCGTGGACACTCTGCGTGTAGGTACACGTAATAGATTCGATGAAATCTTGTCGCGGGCGAGAGGTATTAGAGACACTATACGAGTTCGGGCAGCCTCGAAGGCAGCAAGGAGAGTGGTAGGACGAAATTGCACAGAGGGCAAGGGCAGGTTGCGAGGAGCGGATGAACGTACACCCCAGTGAGAACACTAACGTCGAATCGACGTCAACGGAGTCGAAATCGCGTCCCGACCGTCAGTTTTTGAAACTAATTAAGAGTCAAGCCTCCGTTTTTAATTTGATATCGATGACGTAATATGTGTAAGTAGAAAATTTCTAAGTTTAAAGTTTTCAAAATTTAAAGTCGAAAAACAGACGCGAGGATGTCATCTTTACTTTATACTGTTATTGCGACAAATATTACCACCTGCCTCAGTGGTCGAATTGGCGAGACGCCCGCCTAGAGAGGAAGGGAGGTCCAGGTTCAAACACTGGCTGCGGTAATATTTTTCGCAATAAATTTTCTGCATTAGCCGATTAATTAACAAATGTGGCCAGCTGTGGTCGAATGAAATTTGGAATTTTATTATTATACTGGCAATTTGAAGAAACTAATCTTTAAAAAATTTCACTTGGCACGCAACTTGACTTATGATTTCATGTTGCAATCGATACGCTTTTAAGTTGCAATGTCCTCTAAAAAAACTTGTAGATTATTAAATTCCTTGAAAAGGACCACAACCCGCATGGCCGAAACGTCGGAATTAAACTAATAAACCATCTGCCAGCCTAATGTCGTCTAACAATTCTTTTTATCGATAATTAAAAGTTTTGGAACTTAATTTTTTGTATTAAATAAATTA